CTTCCAACAACCTGGGGTGTGGCTCAGGGGTGGGGTGAGTTCTTACCCAGCATGTGTGAGATCCCAGCACAGAAAAGAGAATAAAGGAAGATGCAAAGCATTTATTAACAGCCTCCGTGTGGCAGCTGCCAGAGCATGAACTTTTTCGACACAGTTCCACTCAGTCCTGTGAATTAGATCTCACCGCAGTCCCTGCTTGGGGAGACTAGGGAAACAGAAGTTAAGTTGTCTTGCTCAAGGTCATCCAGCTGTGAAATCCTGGGGCTCACTGGGTGTGGTGGTGAGTGCCTGTAATCATAGCACTTGGGAGGCTGAGTCAGGAGGATCACCCAAAGAGCAAGGCAGCCTCAGCTACATAGTGAGTTGAAGACCAGCCGGAACTACGTAATGAGATCCTGTGTCAAAAACCAAAACAAACAAAAAAAAAAAAACTGAGGCCTGGATTCAAAGTCCAGTGATACCTCCGATTCCTGATGAGACTAAAGATGCAGTAGGATGCTCCAAAGCTGGCCAGGCTGTGACACACAGATCGGCCAAGCGTGGGCACAGGTGGCAATCACGTGCCTTCCTCCTCCACCAGCCAAAGGTGCCCTGACTGCATGGTTTCCATGGTAAGAACCACAGACTGGGTGTGTGTGTGTGTGTGTGTGTGTGTGTGTGTGTGTGTGTGAAAGAGAGAGAGAGAGAGAGATTTTTTTTCTGTCCTTTTAATACACTCTTTAAAGTAAAAATCAAGGCATAAAAGTTGTAGGAAAAAGTAATTAAAAAGTTACAGGCATTTTATAGGGCTTTAAAAAAAATAGGTGATCCTTTTTCTACTGAAACTGAGTCCAGCAAGGTCATTGTTAAAGAGTAAGAGAGAGAGAACAGTGAGATAAACCAGAAGAACAAGGCCCTACATTCACCCCTATTGAGCTGCATTTATCTTGAAACAGTCTCTTAACATTTTTATTTCAGTATGAGCTTTCCAACAGAGCCCTGAAGTGATTGCTGAAAGGCTCCGTCCTTCTGGTAGCTTCCAACTAGTGGGCCCTGGTAATTGAAAGGGGAGCAGGCGAACAGTGCGGATGGGAGGCTTCTGCTGACGAATACAAATGTGTGCTCTGGGCAGAGGCAAAACACCCAGGAGCCAGAACTTTGCAGATGGTGGGCTTGCATGTCAAAGGTGCCTGTGTTTGTGCAAATGAAAATAACTGACAATTAGGTGCAGGAAAAAGGTTGGAGGGGAGGAACTCCAAACGCCAGTAGCGGAGGAACTCAGAGAGTGAAAACATCACAGAGCCTTTATTTAGAGCCAGGGCTGAACCCTAGGGGTGGCTGAGTGAATTGGTGGTGTCTTTCGGACAGGAATTTAGCAACAGGCTAACACTTTGACCCAGGAATTGGATATCACAGAAATTCTTGCATATATATTAGTGCAGCATTGGACGCCATGTATAAAAATGTGGGAGGCCATTAACTGGTATCCATTTTATAATAGTGTCAGCCTTCTTAAGTTTCTATTCCCCTGCTGAGTTAAGTTTATGGTCCTTCTTACCCCGCCTATTTCCCATAAGTCTCCTGCTTGGGACTTCCTGTCATAGCCCGGTTGCCTAGTTACTCGCACCTTTTACCCGCCGACGTCATTTCCCTATGCCTCCACCATATATACCCAACACCTCCCCTGAATAAACGAGACTTGATCAGAATCCTGTCTTGTCTCCATTTCTCGCGTCTTCTGTCCTTTGTCCCCTCTTCAATTCCCGCTCCTCTTCCAGGTGACCTTTGTTGACTGACCCGCTGTTCAGGACATAAAAATGAAAAACAGGGCTTGGGTACAGCTCAGGGGCAGAGCACTTGCCTAGTGTGTGAGGCCGTGGGTGTGATCCGCAGTCCCACCCAGGGAAGAATGGAATAGAGGAAAAGATGGGGGAAGGGGAAGGAAGATAAGAGGGAAGAAGAGCTGGAGAGGAGGCAAAAGAAGAGGAGGGGAAGGAGAAGGAGGAGGAAGAGCAGGAGGAAGAGGGAGAGGAAAGGGCCACCTAGAAATAATTCATATCCATCAATATGAAAATGTTTAAACAATAGCATATCCATATTTTAGGAAAATTCACTCTAATAAACAGAATGAGTTAGAGTCCTATATTCTAACACGAGAAGAGGTTCCTAATATGGGCTGGTGGTGTAGCTCAGTAGTAAGAGCTTCTCTTGTATGCCAAGACCTTGAGCTCTGGCTCCAGCACTGCCACAAAAAAAAAAAAAAAGCCCTCATACCTTAACTGAGGCAGAGAGAGAAACTGCAACATAGTATCTATCATATGATTCTATTTTAAAATGTTTCTAATGTCAATATAGTCATTAAAAATATCTGGACGACTATGTACCCACGATCAGTCTTGCTACCTCTGGGGGATGATGAAAGTATTTTGTAACATTTACATTTTTATAAGCATAAATTCCTTTTGTAAATAGGAAGAGAGTTGAAATAGTTCCCCAAGGAAGAAAGAGGATCGTAGTAAACAGCAATGGCTGGTCACTTGGCTGGTCCAGTCTTCCCGGCAATCTCCCCAGGCTCTGTCGTGGGACTCCAGCCCGCAGGTGAGGTCAGTTAACACCCTGTGCTGCCCTGGGTGCTGCCCACCATGACCCCTCCCTCCCGCCTTCCTGCTCTGCCTGGCAGGGACCTTTGGTTGCCTCTGCTCCTGCGTTTTGCTGCTTGCTGGCTCAAAAGCGGCTTATTTCCCATCCATCCCACCCCCACCCCAACCATCTCAGAGAGTGGGAGGCAGTGTGGCTTGTGAAGTTAATGTGACCCTGGGTTCAATTTCCAGCATTACTGCTTTCCTGAACACTGGGAAATTCACTTCTCCTTTAGGGGCTCTGTTTCCTGGTGTGAAAAATGGTGAACATCTTGGAGAACCTGCCTCAATAGTGTCCTTGGAACGTTGAAAAGAGATAAATATAAAAAGTGCTTCTTGGGCACGACATGTGCTTACTAAGTGATGTGTCATTATTAGTATCATTTCTAGTAATGGAACCAAGAGTCTCACACAGGCTATACATGTGCTCTACCACTGAACCACTCCATAAAAAGGCCCTGATGCCTTTGTTTGTTTGTTTGTTTGTTTGTTTGTTTGTTTTGGCAACACGGTCTTGTTATAGTTCAGGTTGGCCTCAAACTCATGGCACCTCTCCTGCCTCAGCCTCCCAAGTGCTAGGATTACAAGTATGCGTCACCACGTCAAGTCTATTATAATTGTTGCTGAGTCCTATCCATTTTTCTATGGTAGAATCGCTCCCATCTATTTTCTTCCCATCTTTCAAGACCTGACTCCCAAGCCAGCAGGATGGCCATCATGTCCTCCACGGTCTATTCCTGCACACCACACAGGACTGGTGAGCCTTCCTTCACCAGAAGCATTGGGTCCTGCATTCCTTACTGCACCCTATATCCTGATTTTCTGTGCATCCTCCATAGACCTGGGCTCATGAAGGTAACATCGCTGATCTACTCACCAAAAAGTCCTCAGCATCTACACAGTTTGTGAATTCCAATAATCACCTTTCCACTTAATCTCTTTCATTCCTGCTCTTCCTCCAGATCCGCTGTTCTGTGTTCCCAGTGGCATTACCATACGGGCTTCCTAGTTGGACTCCCTGGGCGTCCTTCCAAATCCACCTAGGTTACATTTGAACACAACTGGCTCCTGCTCAGAGCCTTCAAGGACAAAATGAAACTGCATCAAGAGTTCCTGGGGAGAAGAATTGTAGACTCTGGGCCATCATTGAAATCTTGAAAAAAAAAAAGAAATCTTGGCATCATCTGAGATTTTATTAAAATTACCAATTCTCAGTCCCTTCTGGGTCTATTTAATCAGAATCTGCATTTTGAGAATATTCACAAGTAATTCATAAGCACATCACAATTTGAGCATTTTCTCAGATAAAATTTTGGGATGTATTTATTAGCACATAAAATTGACCATGGAAAAAGTAAATGAAACCTTATTAAATTCTCAGGGAAAATGCATTTCTAATGAAGTTTCTGCAACACACCATTCAGTTTAAACTCGTGGACACAGAGGGAATAGTTTTTATCTCTCTCTCTCTCTTTTTTTTTTTTTTTTTTTTTTTTTTTTTTTTTGAACTGGGGATTGAACTCAGGCCCTTGCGCTTGCCAGAGAAGCGCTTATTCCACTGAGCTATCTCCCCAAATTCGTTTTTTGTTATCTCTCTCTCTCTCTCTCTCTCTCTCTCTCTCTCTCTCTCTTTCTCTTTCTTTTTTTTCTGGAGAGGGAATAGTTTTTGAGTGGAAGACACTTTATAAGCTTTTCTCTTACTGGATGAAACATTTTTAGATTATGTAATATGAAAAAAAATAAATAAAGTGTTCTAGCGTTTGGAAAAAAAAAAAAAAAAAAAGCTCCTGGGGAAGCCAGTCCTGAGTTTGAGCTCCAGTTTTACTGCAAGCTGATGTGATCCTAAGCACACTGCTTTACTTCTGAGTTTGGTTCCGTCTGGAAAATAGAGGCACTAGGAGAAATGCATGAGAAAATTGTTAGCTATTACTTCCTCCTCCTCCTCCTCCTCCTCCTCCTTTTGACAGTGATGGGACTGGTACTCAGGGCTTTTGTACATGCTAGTCAAATGTTCTATGGATGAGTTATATCCTCAGCCCTAGCCTTTCCTTTCTTCCTTCCTCTCTCTTCCCTCTTCCCTTATCTCTCACGCCCCCCCCCCGTCTCTGTCTCTCTGTCTCTGTCTGTATTTCTCTCTTTTCCCGCCAGGTTCCTCTCTCCCTCTTTCTGTTGTTTTATCTTGAGACTAGTCTCATAAGGTTGCCCAGGCTGGCCTGCAGCTCCTGGGCTGACGCCTCCCATCAAGGTCAAGTTGCAGCCCTGGTCTGCAGTGCGCTCCTCCGACCACCAGGGGCCACTGCAAGACCCTCGCGCTCGCCCACCCTACGAGCGCCGTCTCTCTGCGTACGAGGTGCGTGTGTGCGTGAGGCGGGGCCAGAGCCGGAAGCGCAGCCGGCGTGGCTACGGTCTCTCACCTCGACGCGGTTCCAGACCTACTGTCGCGGGCTGCCGGCGGCCCTCGCGGGTCTTCGGTGTCCCTCCTCCATCCAGTGTGGGCTGGTCCCCACCCCTGGTCTTCCCGTCCCTGACTGGCTCGCCCCGCCCCATGGCGCTGCAGAGCTCGGGAGTGGCCTTCCGCAGGATCCTGTCCCACTTCCCCGAAGAGTTGAGCCTGGCTTTCGCCTATGGCTCGGGGGTGTACCGCCAGGCGGGGCCCAATTCAAACCAGAAGGTGAGCCCGGTCCAGCGGCGTGTCCTCCGAGTCCCCTTGTTTCCACGTGTCGCCTCCCAGAGTGCAACCGAGTGCGACATCAGCTCTAGCTGAGTCTCAAACCCCGTTAATGGGCTTGGCACCCAGGGCCCGGGCACTGAGCTGTCTCAACCCTTTTTTGTTTTTTGTTTTTGAGACGGAGTCTAGCTAAATTGCCCGGCCTAAGTTCGTCCTTGGGATCATCCTGTCCCAGCCTCCTAGAGTGCCAATACACGTGTGTGCTACCGCGTCTGGCTTCCTCAAAAATTTAAATGTCATCGGTGGTTTGTGGATCAGGGTGGCCGGGCCTTAGCCTCTGGAAGGCCCCTGCCTCATTTCTCACAGATTTTCCTGTGAGCAGACCCGAAAATCCTCCCAACACATCTTTCCTTCGTTTTCATTCCCACGTTCAAGTTATCAGTTCTTGTATTCAAACACTGAAGTCTCATTCATTACGAAACCTCAGTACCTTTTCCTCACCTAGAGTTGTCTAAGGTTTCTTCCACTCTTAATCTCTGCTCACCTCTTCTGCAAGGAAGTTTCCAGACATGGCTAAGACCTCCCTTTCAGGTCTCAGATACACCACACAAGTATTCTTTTCGAACATTGTCAGATTGCGTGGCTCCCCTGAGCGCATGAGCAGGTTCTCTGACACGACCCCCTAAGTACCTGGTACCCAGGTACTTACACCAGTACATTCTTCAGGACATACACTTGTTATCGCCAGAAAAAAATTTCTCCTTTCTGTTTGTGGATCATTCATTCCGAGTAAAGTTAGTTCACTATGCATTTTTTT